GACCTGATCTCGTCACTACTCGATCGAGGTTAGGCTTGGTACTGACTGGGTACCGTTGTGTTGTACTCATGCCCTTTCCTGCACATGTTTTTCGTGTGCTGATCCAGGTTCATCGTACCAGCCTCATCAGTAGTTGCAGTCGTTGCTGCTTATTGGAGACTTCAAGGTACATCTGCCCGCGCCCATAGATCCTCGTTGTCTCCCTCTATCCCCCTATGTTCATTTTTCCCTTTTTCTGTAGAAATGATGTATAGAACAGTTAAGACTTCTTAGTAGCTTGTGACTTGCAGTATTCCGGGTTTGGGGAATTGTTTGGTACATTTCAAAGGTGAAAATTGTATATGCCGAGTGGAAATTAGTTGCTTAGATATCTATTACTGTTAGCAGTTAATGTTCATGCTTCTATTTCGTTTCCGCAAAGTGTTAGGCTTACCTAGTCGTAGAGACTAGGTGCCGTCAGGACAAATTTACGGAGGGGGAAATTAGATCGTGACTAGTTGGTATCAGAGCCCTAGGTTCATAGGAGTCGTGAATGACAAGCCGATTTATTAGAGTCTCGCAGATCGGTACTGAGACGTCTGTACTTATCTTTGGGAGGCTATGGAACTGTTAGGAAAATTCCACTTCATTTGATTCCTTTTCGTGTGAGATTATTGACTTCGAAATTCTAAACTTTTGCCTTCTATTTTCTCACAGATAGTGAGGACATGTGCTACTGGAGATGACCAGGCATCCACGCCCCCTGCTAGAGCTGCTAGAGGCTGAGGCCGGGGTAGAGGCCGAGGACGCCCACGTGGTGCAGCCAGAGCACCCAGAGCACCCAAGCGTGCTGCTACAGTGGAGCCGCCAGCAGCTCCAGTCGGAGCACAGGCACCTGATACTGGAGATTGTGTTGTTATTTATTTTTATTTTAATTATTTATTATTAAAATTGGCTCATAAACTAGTAAAAAAATTATTTAATAGATTGACTAAAGGGTAATTCTAAGGAGGGGATCCCCGTTTTGAAAAAATTCCTAACCAACCCGGATTTATTCGTTACATACAAGAAACGTATAATCCTGATTTTCAAGATCTTCCTAAAACAATTATTAGAAATAGAAATAAAGACTTGCTGAAATATTGGATTAAAGCGGAGAGAAGAAAATGTGGCCTTCCAGAAATAATTCAAGAAAACGATGACGCCCATAGTAAAATACTATCTATCGGGGAGAGGGGACGCAGAAGAACAAGCGTTATCAATTTCAACTGAAGAACCAATAAAAGTTATTGAAAAATTTCATAAATTGCTCAAAGAAATATGCAATTTTGTTTTTATAAGCGTTGAAATAAAAGTATTGAATTTTTTCCATCTCGTAAAGTTTGCGTGTATTAAATATAGTAATTTTTAAATTTTAATTTAAAAATACCCCTAAGTTCCCTTATTTCTCCCTTAAGTACCCCTCCCCCCAGGATCGGTTGGGTACTAGTACACTATCCCTAAAGATCCCTTTACCCCGTACTTTTAAATTTTCTTAACCAAAGTCCCCTTAAGGAATCCTTCCCTCCCCTACCTGTACCTCCCTCATACCAGTCCTATAAAGTACCCAGGACTCTCCCCTTAGACAGCTCTAGTCGAGATAAAAGACTTTACCCTCAAGAAGTCAGCCACAACAGTGGAATAAGGGATCTAAGTAATAATTGGTACTTTCTCTAGTAATATACTGTCCCTACCCGCTCAAAAAATTTCCGTACAGGCGACTCACAGCCACAGTACCCACGCAGTGGCGATATGGCCACTACTCCTCCGTCCACCGGTGGAAAACCACCGGACCAACGCCAAACGAAGCGTCTCCCAAAGGCGAACACATCCCAACAAGTTTCATTCAAAAACTCCAACCCAGCTGCTACGAATCTCAAAAATGGGGACGCGATCACTGTAGCAAATAATCGCCTGGGTGCTCCTGTTAATTCCCAGCTCAGTTCTGGGCCAAAACTTGTAATTCCAAACCATGGAGACTGTTCTCCATCACCAGACGTGCATCCTCACCAAAAACTAGCTGATTCCACCGTAGGAATCATCACCAACGACCAACTGAGAAATGCTGTTAATAAAGAACTCGCCGGAAATGGAGTTCCAGCCGGTCAATTCGAAAGAGCTGAGTACCAAAATGCTCGTAATAGAGAGGACAAGAGCTTAGAACTATAAATTTTATATGGGTACCAACCAACTGCTTTAATTTTGAAATCATTGATCTCAGGCAACCTTAATTCCTCAGACGATCAAAAAAATGAAATTCTTCATTCTGAGCCAATTCGACCCCAACCATTGATTGGAAACCTCCTACCATCACTCAAGGAACAAGTAAGTAAAGTTTCAACTCAATTTAACAACACAATTGATCGTCTCGATCAATTGACAGGTCCAGCTATGCACCAGTTGGCCGGACATGGGGTTCCGGTGAACCAACTGCCTCAACACCAATGCCAATCTACTTCCAATGCCCAGGAGATTGATTCCCAACCATCAAATCCAATTTCTCAAGAGCCAAATTCCTCGAATATCCAAAAAAGGGACTCTGTAGTCACTGAATTGCCAGGTGCTCGACCAAATGCCAATGCCACCTGTGGTACTCAAACAGGAGCTCAAAATAGGGTACAAGTCTCACAAGATCCTCAGGAAAATAATCGCCAAAAGAATTCCAGTCCTTTAGTTCAAGAAAACAATGGTCAACCAATCCCTGCTTTGCCAAAAACACAGAAGTCTGCTAATGGTGAATTATCAGTTCAAGGGGATCAAGTGTCCTTGCTAAACACCTCTCAGATTCATGAAACTAATAATGGAAGGATTGTAAATGAAAATGCCTCAGCCACAAATCCAAATGTCAATGGACCTGGCATCATTCCAAAAAACAAGGGGAAGTGTTGCTAAGGTAAAGATCCAAATTGACCTCACCAAGGAGAGACCTCATCATGTCTGGCTTGGATATGATGAGGATCAAGATGAAAATGGAGATGGAGAATGGTTGGAAGTCCAGTATGATAGTTTTCCAACTTATTGCAACCATTGCAGACACTTAGGTCACTCTGAATACACTTGTGTAAATCAGACTAAAAGAAGAAGATAAGAAGAAGAGAAAAGAGGAAGAATAAAAAACCGAAGACAACCACCACAAAGCAACTACAAGTACAACCAAGGTAGTGCAACAAATTGTTCAAGGGGGAAGACCAAAAAACAAGGAACATAATCAAAACCAAAACCAATTGCCAGTAGAACACCAAAAAGCAGCAGAACACCAAAGTTTAGTGCATAAAGCACCAGAGGAAGACTGGCAAACTCAGAAAAGGAAGAATTTTAAAGCTACCACCCAGAACAAGAAGCAACAACAGGTCTACATTCCAAAGCAACCAAATGCACAAAAACAAAAGGTTGCTTCAAAGGAAATTCAGCAGCAGATCACACAGTCATCAGATCCATCAGGTATACCTTCTATCAATCCTCCAGCTCCACTGGAGAGGAGTGCAGATCCTGGTGCCCAGGATCAACCCATTCCCCCTTTCCCCCCTACAGCTCTAAAGTTGGTGATGTTAATGGAGGGAAGGAGAACTGTCAGGAGATATAGTCAGGCAGGAAGGGGTTCCAAAAGGGGAGGGGATTCCTCATGTTATGCATGAGTGTGCTAAGGCACAATTGAATGAACCTAGGATTGACCAACTAACTCCTGCTACCACAATTCCCAAATTAGACACACAGCAAGTGGACCAATATGATAGTGTGACTGTGGAAGAAGATTCTGAGCCCTTAAGCTCTGAAGAGAACCCATCTGCACAAACGAAAGCTCTCCTTAAAGGAAAAGCCAAAGTTGCTGCTGATTTTCAAGTTCAGACTTAGAAATCAAAAAATAAACCTAGCCTGAAAAAGAGAAAGGATAGAAACAGAAATGCAGGAACCAGTATAAATGAACCCCCTGATGATTCCCAATTTTTGAGCCCTCTAATTCAGAAAAAATGAAGCCTTGATACAGCTGCTAAATCCCCTGGTTATAGGAACTCAGTCATAGCCAATCCCTCACTTTCCCAACCTCTTCTAACCAATAAAGAACCAAGATCTGATGGCAATGAATCAGACCTGCCCACCAATGATGAAACCCCTAAATCCAAAACTCACAAATTCACCTTTGTCTCCCCAAGTACTCCTAAAAAACACCACCTCTTGAACCCCTTAGACATGGTCATGGAGGAATGCCCTCTTAACAGATACACTCCACGGCAGGATGAGTATAGACCAATTGAGTCTGAGGATGAAATTCCTGGAAATCATGATGATGATAGTGACTCTGGTGATGAAGCTCAGGAAAAAGAAGAACACTATGACCTGCTAATTGCTGCAGTTAATGGTGAACCGAATCAGGAAAATGCTGCTGCTGATTCTTTATCTACCAGGAAAAGTCCCTCCCAAAGACTTACCAAAAGCAGGGCTGCTAGAATCAGAAGCAGCAGCGTCCCACCAAAGCACAACTCCAAACCTCCATTCCAATGATTAGTACAATCATATGGAATGTAAGAGGCATCAGGACCTCTGGAGCCATTGAAAGGCTCAAACTCCTGAAACAAATTCATAACCTCTCCTTCATAGCTGTCTTTGAACCTTTTCTAGACAACTCTCACCTTAACTCCTTCAAAATCCAACTTTCAATGAATCAAGCTGCAGCTAATGTTAATGACAAGATCTGGGTATTCTGGGATAAGGATTTCAATGCCAAGGTTTTAGATCACGATGAACAATAATTGTCATTAGAAATGAAACATGTTGAAAATGGCAATATGTTCCACATAACTGTCATTTATGCAAAATGCAAGCCAGTTCTTAGAAGACCATTGTGGGAAGTCCTTAGACATAAATCAACTACGTGCAATGTACCATGATGTGTCATAGGAGATTTCAATGTCATTGCTTCTGTAGAAGAAAAGATTGGTGGCCTTCCATACCAAATGTCCAAAAGCCTTGACTTTCTGAGCATGATGGAGGATTGTGGATTGATGGATCTGGGATTCTATGGATCTAGAGTCACATGGTCTAATGGTAGGGGGCAATGTGCTATTGTATGGAAAAGACTGGACGGGGGAAAAGCCAATGATCTATGGCTCTTTCCTGCTGCCACAATTACTCATTTAGCTTCAGCAGGATCTGATCACAACCCCCTCCTATTGGAACTTCATACAAGACAAGACAGTGGCAAAAAGTACTTCAAATTCCTCAACTGTTGGGTGGATAATCAAAGTTTTCTACCACTAGTTTCAGAAATTTGGAACAAAGAAGTCAAAGGTAGTGTTATGTGGGTGTTTCACCAGAAGTTGAAAGCTCTGAGCCATGCTCTAAGTCTTTGGTCCAGACAACAATATGGTGATATCTTCCAAAAAGCCAAAGAATATGAACAAAGGGTGAAGGATGCAGAGATGATTTGGGCTCAGACAAATAATGATGCTGATAGAGTAACTCTCAATGAACTCAAAGCTCAGTATGTTAGACATCTGAAGGTGGAGCAAGATGTTCTGAAACAGAAAACACAACTGCAATGGTTCAAAGAAGGGATGCCAATTCTAGATACTTCCACAGCCTGATCAGAGGAAGAAGAAGGAAATTATACATCCACAAAATAAAAAATGAAGAAGGTGAGTGGTTTCAGGGTGATGAAAACATTGGGAAAGCTGCTTGTGACTACTTTCAAAACCTTTTCACAGATCCTGGTTCAATTATTAGAGAAGACTTGCTGTCCATTATTCCAACTATGATAACCAGTGATGACAATGCCATACTCACCAGAGATCCATCTATGTCAGAGCTCAAGGACATTTTCTTCTCCATGAATCCTACTAGTGCAGCAGGACCTGATGGTATGAATGGGAAGTTTTACCAAGCTTATTGGGAAGTGATCAAGGAAGACTTACTCATGGTGGTGCTAGCATTCTTTAGAGGCAGTTCATTGCCCAGATATATGACCAATGCATGCCTTGTCCTCCTGCCCAAAGTTGAATTCCCTAATAGTCTCACAAAATTCAGGCCAATAAGTCTTAGCAATTTCATTAACAAGATCATTTCCAAAGTTATCTGCTCAAGACTTGTCCCTATCCTTCCAAAGATAATTTCTACAAATCAATCAGGCTTTGTTAAGGGCAGAAATATCTCTGAAAACATTATATTTGCACAAGAAATAGTGCATGGTATCAAGAAGCCAACTGTGGACTCAAATGTGGTCATCAAGCTTGACATGGCCAAGGCTTATGACAGAGTCTCTTGGAGTTTCACCTGCATTATGCTCAGAAGAATGGGCTTCAGTGAAATGATCATTGACATGATCTGGAGAACAATGTCCAACAACTGGTACTCAGTAATAGTTAATGGCACCAGATGTGGTTTCTTCCGGTCTACAAGAGGCCTCAAACAGGGTGATCCACTTGCTCCCTCCCTATTCATCATAGGAGCTGAACTCCTAGCTAGAATGCTCAACATGCTGAATCATGATCAGTTATTTCATGGATTTTATATGGAGAAAAGGGGACCTCAAATCAACCACTTGAGTTTTGCTGATGATATCATCATCTTTACTTCTGGCAGAAAAACATCTCTGAGGAAAATCATGTGGATTCTTAGCAATTATGAGAGCACATCTGGCCAACTCATTAATAGACACAAGAGCCATTTCATGACTGCTCTATGTGCCCTACCAAGTGCTATAAGAAGAATTCAAAGGGAAACAGGCTTCTCTAGGAAAGACTCACCTCTCACATACCTAGGATGCCCTCTGTACACAGGCAGAATCAGAATAATGCATTTCAATGGCCTTATCTCTAAGGTGCTAGGAAGAATCCAAGGCTGGCATGGCAAGATGCTATCCTATGGAGGCAGCGCAACCTTGATCAAATATGTCCTCCAATCCCTACCAATTCATCTCCTCTCAGTTGTGTCCCCTCCTAAGACTGTCATGAAACAAATTGAAAGGTTGACAGCAAACTTCTTCTGGGGAATGGATAAGGACAAACTCAAGTATCATTGGGCATCATGGTCCAAACTATCATTCCCTCCAAATGAAGGTGGTGTGGGTTTCAGAACTATTCAGGATTCATGTAAATCCATGGAGCTCAAGCAATGGTGGCATTTCAGAACAGAAAATTCTCTTTGGAGTTCATTCCTAAAGGCAAAGTACTGTCAAAGATCAAATCCAATATCCAAGAAATGGCACTCAGGCCAGTCACAAGCATGGAAGAGATTGATGGTCAATAAGAAAGAAGCAGAAAAAGTAATCCAATGGAGACTTCACAATGGGAAATGCAATTTTTGGTGGGACAATTGGCTTGGTTCAGGGCCATTGGCATACAGCAGAACAGAAGGGGGCAGACCTGGCAACATACAAGTGTCCTATTTCTGGAATGAAGGTCATTGGGATCTCCAAAAGCTCAATGGAATTGCACCAGTTCACAAAATCTCAGAGATCATGCAGACAGCTATCTTTCACAACCCTGACCTCCCTGACAAACCTATCTGGACTCTTACTGTCAGGGGTAAGTTTACATGTGCCTCTGCATGGAACCTCATCAGAAAGAAAAAATCACCTAACTTCACAAATAGGAAGATCTGGCATAAGAAGATTCCCTTTAAGTGGTCCTTTTGTTTGTGGAGAGCTCTTAGAAACAAACTCCCAACTGATGACAGAGTGCAAACCTTCAATGGTCCAACTGTCACCAGGTGTGTATGCTGCTCTATGCATGCTCTGGAAACAGTGGAACATCTCTTCATTTTTGGGAACTTTGCAAGAATCATGTGGAAAAAATATGGGGGTCATGTGGGCATTCAAACTGAGAACTTGCCTTTGCGAATTCTCCTGATGAAATGGTGGATGTTGAAGACTTGTAATTCAGTGCAAAAGCTCATATTAGATACCCTCCCCATCATCATCTGTTGGAACTTGTGAAAAACAGATGTAGTGCCAAGTATGGAGCCAAAAACTCCTCCCTAACTAGGGTCCTCTACTCCATCAATTCAGACATCAACCTACTCCTAAGATCCAACTTCCCTGACATCCAATGGCCTTTCAATTGGGGGGAACTCTATTCTTTCATTGAAAACATTCAGCATCATACCACCATAACCCAAGTCACATGGAATAAACCCGACAATGGCTATGTCAAGATTAATTCAGATGGAAGTGCTATGACAAATCCTGGAAAGATTAGAGGGGGTGTCATTATTAGAGATCAACATGGCCATTTCATTCATGCAATGGCTTTCCCCTTGGGAGAAGGTACCAATAACTATGCTGAAACTGAAGCAGCCAGAATAGGAGCTCAATGGTGTTTGGACAATGGTATCCCCAGAGTTCACTTGAAGGCAGAATCTGCACTCCTAGTTAAATGGCTGACAGAGGAAAATGACTCTCCTTGGGCTTTGCAAGAGAAGATTTCCCAGCTAAGGCTTCTGTGCTCTCAGTTTGAAGGATTCAAACCTTCATATGTTTATAGAGAAGGAAACTTTCCTGCTGATTCCCTCTCAAAATTGAGCCATGACCTCCATACCATAACGAACTTCACCATTGCCTCTTCACTCCCATCCCTCATCAGAGGCCAAGTTGTCCATGACCAATGGGGCACCCCAGCTTTCAGGCACAAGAAAACCAATAGCCTGTTGGTCTCATCTCAAAATGCAAGCTCCTCCTCAACATCAAATGGTTATGGATGAAACAACTTCAAGGAAGGGGTTCCAGTTACCAATCCAAATGAAGCACTCCATGCACCAGTTGTGGGCAATTAATGCCCTTTCTAACATTTGTTCCTTTTTTGCAGGTACCATCAAAAGGGGACTGTACAGTCCATTGGCCGCCTTCAGAGTATGGTATCAACAGCAATGCTGTTCAATCTACTGAAGGGAAATCAATGGATAGTAACAGCCCCAAACTCATATACACAATGCAATCTTGAACACAAAAAGCCCTGCAAACCCCATATTTGCAGGAAAAAAGATCAAGGAATCCAAAACAAAATGCACTCCATATTCCAAAAGTGTACATCAAGTCAAACCTTACTTCCCCATCCCACCATTGTTCTTAGAACCCACAAGAACCTAAGAGCAAACCTTTTCCCAGGGAAGCACAAAAAATTGTCTACAGAAAATAGACAGGGAATACTGGGCAGAAATGCTCTTTTCTTCTCTAACTCAGTTTTCTTTTTTGCAGGTCTCCTCAATACTTTGGTGCTCACTCAGCTGATATGCTCACAGGGTGTGGTATTAGCATCCATGATGCTCAATCCCCTGGAAGCCTATCAATTGAGTATAGCAACAGTCCCAGTTCATGCTGCAGCACTCTGCAACTTAACCTTCATCAACAACTGTTTCTGGAATTCCCAAAAACAAAAACACCTTGCAATCATAACAACAAGGCAGGACTTTGACTGTTGCTATCTTATTCATGTCTCCAATCATCCAGTTTTGGGACATCTAATTCATGTCTGGAATGTAGGGGTCCAAAAATGCCTTCTCCTACTCTTGCAACACTATTTCTTCAGCACCTGCAGGTTTCCATATACCTGCAGCAATGCCTTCCTCCTCTCTTCACAAATCAACAACAAATCAACTGATTGCAGTCACCACAAGAACCTGCAATCAGTTCTTCCTTACAAAACAGGGGTCATAACTTCCCCCCTCTCCACAGACTCATATCCAGAATCCACAAGAACCTGGATTATGAGCTCCCTTTTTCTAACAAGTTTGCTATTAATTGCAGGTATAGGAAGCAGACTTGACCAACTGATGCATTTTCAATCAATGGTATTAGCATCCCAGATGCTCAATCTGTTGGAAATGTATCACTTGAATCAAGTCTCTCCACCTATTCTCATAGATGACTCTTGGTCCCCTCCTCCATGGATACAACTCGCAGTACACACAATACTCAACAAACCTCCAGTTTTCAGTAGAATGCAATCTCAGCAAGGACAAACATCACATGCTTCTACCTCACTGAAACTTAAGGATACACAACAGGCTACAATCATTAAGCAGGCAAGCACTCAGGCTTCAGCTCAACAACAAAACAACACCCCTGCCAAGATACAATACAACATCCAGGAATCAAATGAAGAGCACAGCTTAGCTTTGGGAAGCAAATCATGCTCACTCCCTTTTGTCAGCTTCAAGAAACTGCAACACCATAGTCAGAATGACCAGACTATTTTGTTTGCTATCTTCAACATAGCTTTCTTTGTATCCAATGTCAAAGCTAGGATGAAGATAGCTCTTACTTTCACTAAAAGGTTTTTGTCATACTCTCATAGGAAACTCTACAATTTCATTAGTTGTAGAAGTGTCTGTATATGGAAGATGTGCTTCCAACTCATCCTTTGCATAGATTTAGGTTTGCTTTTGCTATTATGTATAGTTGACCTACGTTATCTTCAACTTGTTTTTGTATATCTAATTATCTACCACTTAGAGGTAGATAATTGGAACATCATGATAGGTCTAACTTCTCACAGCATACATGTGTCATTTGATTGTCAATGTTGGACAAACAAATGCCCTTTTATCTTATTTCTGGAGGTCAGGTTTATGTCCCCCTCCATTGTTGTAC